GCGACGTGGTTGCCATAGCCGCGGCGCCAAGTAAGGTGAGCGGGTGCGAGGCGGGCCCAGCGCTGAGCTTACCAGCGAGCCGAGCACTATACTCTCCAGTACATTCTATCTCCATATTCCGAGCGCAGCGAGCCGCGGGGGCTCCGAAGGGGCGCTCAGCCAAGCGAAGCGCGGCTGGTCACTGTGACCTCTAATCGTCGATTATGTTTTATTGTGACACTCAGGGCCATTCTTATCAGCTGGGATTCCTGGGATTTCGGAACCCTCGCTTTTCATTGGTGTACGAACATCTACAAAAGTTGGGCGAATTGTGCATAAACAGAAAATCTGGGGTACCGTTCTCCGATCCCATAAAAAAAAAGTTGGGGATCGGAGAACGGATCCCCGAGCTGGGATCTCGAGATCACAGGCTTGGCATCCAATCGTTTGTGCTGTGAGTTTGGGCCAAGTAGGGTCAAAGTCTGTTATTTTTAAAATGGACCTCGACAACCTTTTGCCCCTGTACGCTGGTTGTGAAGGGGGGTCACAGAGGGACCTCGCCCCTGCACAGCTGAATAATGAAACCGCAAGTGTGCCAGTCGACGACACCGCGCTTGTAGCAATCACAGCCCATGCAGACACCGAAGCAGACAATGAGGTCACTGACCTGGCGCAAGAACCACCCCTTTCACGTCAAGACGGTCTAACAGAGCCATATACAGCATATAAAGCGCTTGAGCTGCGTAAGGAAGTGTATCGCAGAGGACTTCGTCCCACCAAAAAGGGCCCACAGGCCAACTGCACCAAGGCTGGTTACATGAAGCTACTCAGGAATTTCGACAGGACCTATCAGCTCTACGATCAAATTGCAGTCGGCAGTGGCGGCCAAAAACGAAAGGCGAGCCCCGACCAAACAATCAAAACGAAGCACTGTATGTTCAGGCTCCTGAACGTCATTTTTTCGGACGATTTTGCAACTCGCCTGACCGAAAGTAATGGACCTGTGACCCACATGGATCTTGATCGGGGAGCTGTGAACGAAAGATCACAGTTTTGGACTGATATTGCCGATAGTTTCGCACAAGAACGCTTGGAATATGGGTGGGTGGTCGCAAACCATCCGAAGTTCAGCGGCATCGATCCTTCGATTACAACCGCCCACAGCAGCAGCAAGCTTCGAGTTATGTGGGGAGAGATTACATCGGAGTACCAGCGTTGCCGTATTAACTTCACGCAATCCGGAACTCACGATCCGGATTTTTTCAACTTTTGTTATGGCCGAATTGACATTTTGTATCTTCATTTTTGGTTGCAGAAGAGACCAAATCTACTGGCAACTGTAGCTGGTCGACTGCCCAAGACTGCCCAGGTCGACTCACTGAAGCCAAGGATCGACCCGGCTACGCCTGAGCGGCGACCACCCACCTTAGCGAATGGATCCGCTACAAAAAGGAGAGATGAGGAGTTGGCTCTCTTGCGCGAGATGGTCGGACTAGTTAGAGGTGGAAACAATGGGGCCGACCACGCAGGAAAGGTTGATCGAGATGGTCTGCTTCGCCAGCTCAAGACAACTATTGAGACGATGGGGCTACTTCAGGTACAGCTGCGGGGTACAGACGACGCAGATCAAATCGATGACCTTCAAGTAGACCTTGAATTTTTTGCCGATATAAAAAACAAAATCAAAGAGAAGCTCCGTTGCTAAACTTACAAGGTCGAGTCTTCTTTCTTCGTTTAGCTGGTATTTTCATCAATATCAAATAGCGACTTGGTATCTAAGCGGGTGGGCTCTCCTCCCGTTGCCTGCGCTGTAAATTGTAGGTTGGACGAACGGCGTTGCTACCAGCAATCCTCTGCACCACGATGTCACGAAGGAGACTGTTCGCACCCACACGAACGATAGAGTCACTTGAAAGATATGCTGCAGCAGTGTCCTGGAAGTAAATAGGCTCAACCTCGCTCGCACGGACATGGTCATTCTTGTTGCGTCGCAATCGCTCCGTGATGCAATAGTTATGAAGCTTCTGTGCTGTCAATATGCGTTGAGTAGTGTACTGTAGACTTCCTTCCATGGGGCTGCGAAAGATCCTCCACTTTGTAATTAATAGCCCGAACGCCATCTCAATTCTAATCCTGAGCTGACTGAGGAAGAAGTTGAACGTGTCTTCGGCAGAGGGAATATCCTTTCCCGGGAAGGGCGTCAGCAGGTGCTCCGACAGCATGTAAGCGTTATCACCTAATAGATATATTCCAAGTGGGAGATTCTCCACGCGCTTGTATAAAGCGCTCTCTTCGTAGCTTATTAGATCACTCACACTGCCTGGACATACGGCTGACACGTACGTAAACCGCGACTCGTAGTCGCAAACGCATTGAACGTTAATCCCAAACGCTTGGTAGTGACCGCTAAAGTATTTTCGTTGCCCAGTCCCCTGTGTATCTGTCTCCGTTGGCGCCCGTATGCGACAGAGCCAACCGTCAATGCACCCTACACATCCTGTCATCTCTCCACAACTACTCAGCAGGCCAAACCCTTCGGTCATTGCTTTGATATCTTTTTCAGTGTCCGGAAATAATATAGCCAAACTGGGATGGTCGCAGTTTAATACAGCATCAACTCCTTTCTGCACGAGCCGATAGTAGCTTGCTATTGAGACTCCGCCAATGCGACGCACGTCATGGTACGACCCACCCGCTAAACTGCGGATCATCATCTGGACTATATTCTCTCGCAATACAGTACTGCGGTAGTCCATGACCAGGCAAGGAGCGAGAATCTGAACTAACTGCTCGAAAGAGCGCGAGGACATGCGATAACACGCATCAAACGCACCCTCGCGTAGAAGGCGCTCGCTCTCAGCGTCCCAGTCCAGCCTTTCCCGAGTTAGCTTGGGCTCTCTTCCCTTTCTTAGCTGCACGAACAGGTATAGCGCCACCAGCGCTGCGCTCTTCCGTGCGGGTGTGAGTGGTAGACGCATCACTCACTCCCAGTAGCAGGGGGCTTTCCACAACTCGTCTAAGTACATTGAACAACGGCGCAATTCAGATATTAGCACACGCTACGATCATGTTATTGAGCACAATACCCACCGCAAGGTGTGCGTGACGTGGGCGTCCGCCGTAGACTGTGTGCGGCGAAAATCACCGTGCCCGTTGCGCTGCCTTCTTGTCGCGGAGACGATCGCTTCTGCTGTGTGTTAATGTGCCACACACTGTACACCAAATACCCAGCGATCGACTCTTATCAGCTCCCCGGCACACCTTCCCCTAGTCGCCGACGCTGGGATCGGTACCCAGCTGATAAGAATGGGCCTCAGAAGGTCAAATTTATACAGAAGTCAAGCTAAATGATCTGCTGGGTGCCGACGCAGTAAATGCATGTGTTTAGCATGTTCTTTTCTGCTTAGGAAGGCGTGGTTGCATCACGATCAGTAATTTGGTCGGGGGTGTCACTCAAACGCGCGCGAAGATTTAACACCGGTTCGTATATTTCCGATTACAGCCAGTGCCCTGCCTTTAATTCTCAAGTGAAGAACCCTACAACCAGCAAGAAAAAGCACCAGCACTATGCCCAGTCAACGCGTCCCCAAGAGTATTGCGGAGAAGAAAGAGGTCCTTGATTGGATCGACCGCTACGCCGACGGCGTTCCCTCACGAGCGTTCAATCATTTTGCTGTTAAAAGGGGAAGGAAGATCTCCGCGGCCCAGATCCACTACTGGTACAAGATTCGTGAAGTCATCAGGCAAGCCTCGAGCGACCAATAACGGCTGAGGGGTGCTGGTGCTCGTCCTAGACTTGGTGAAATCGAGGACATGCTCTTCGACGAAATTGTTTATGCGCTCCGAGCATCACAAGGTGTCGAGGCAGTGGATCCAGGCGGCTGCTGTCCACCACGCCCGAACCGTGCTGAATCATGACTCTTTTGCTGCATCTGAGCGGTGGCTGAGCGCTTTTATGCATCGATACAGACTCTCCTTACGTCGCACGACCAATCTTACCACTTTAACCGATGTGGAACTTGTTCGACGTGCAGTCCGCTTCATGGCTTACCTCACCCACCTCAAGCCACGGTTTAATTTGTCACGAACTGTACTCATGGATGAAATCGCTGTATATTGCGAGGATCCTCGACGCGAAACGGTGGATTTTGTAGGCTCGCGTCATGTTGTGCTTCGCTCGACGGGGTTTGTGTCGATGAGGATCACTGCAGTGCTGGCCGTGACTGCGGACGGAGCAAAATTGCCCCCGATTGTTAATTGGAAAAATGGTACTACCGGTACTACTGGTACAGTACTAGTAGCTCGACAATAGACAAAATCGACGGAGTGTATGTCGTAACACAAACGAGGGCATGGGTTGACAGCACGCTGCTCCAACGATGACTGATCTTGTCTTTCCGGTGCTGATGGATCATTTCCCGGGCAAATCTCTCGTTTGGGACTATGAGCGCTCATATTTCGAAGGCGATCAAGGCGAGATGTCCAGCCAAAAAGATTGACATGGTTGTTGTGCCTGGTGGCTGCACGTCATATCTGCAAGCTGGGGAAATAGGCATTTACAAGTCTTTTAAAGACCGCATGACACCTCTTGTTATTAATAGCGAATGGAAAACTTCCGACCGTGTAGAGTAGACGCGTGGTGGCAACCCACGCCCACCTTCCGTGAGTGAAGTAGCTGGCTGGGTAAGCAGGCGTGGCAGTGCGTACCAGACGATGTGATCTCCAGCTCTATTGGTGGTGCGGGCTTTATCAATGATTGCGAGAAATGGCACATAGCGAAACATGATGTCTATGGTGATTCGTTTTGTGCAGAGTGGATACTGCAGAATATGGTAGAGCCTAACCAAGAGGAAGGCGTTCAGCGAGTTAGTTTGTGAATTATAATACCCTCATAATATAGTACCCTCCGATTAGAATGACTACGAAATGTGGTATACTAATACTATAATACCGGTATATTATTCGAGACATCAATTACACCCATGTTTGTGATAAATACATCTGCTCCTTTTCGGACGGACACTATTGGAGGTCGAGATGGAGAAGCTACAGGAGCTGAGCCTCGTGTCCAAGGTGTGCCAGGCACTAGAGAACCACCTTGGTATGAGTGACAAGACGCTGGCCGAGTTTGTGATAGACTTAGTGCGCAGCAGCTCGAGCTGCACCGCCTTCCTAGCATCCATCAAGAAAGACGAGCTGCCGTTGCCCCCCGCCCTAGCTGAGAATCTCTACCGCATCGTGCAGACAATGGCTCCACGCAAGATGAAGCAGGTGGGGGGTTCGGCTGCGGATGCCAAGAGAAAGAGCAAGAGGCACCAAATTCGAGACGACGAGCAGCTCACAGCTGCGGATATCGCAGGAGCGTCCGTCAAGGACGACAAGGACGACAAGAAACCGACGTCTACCGAGCGTGATGATAGGAAGAGTGATGATCGCTCTCGAACTAGAGACCGATCACGAGACCGCGATCGCTACGGACGTGACAGAAGCCGCGGACGCGATGAAGATCGCGGCAGGAGAGGCAGAAGGTCAAGATCTCGGTCTCGGTCGGAAGGCAGACGACGCGATCGACGTGACAGGGACAGAGACCGCAGTCGCGGTCGCAGGAGAGATGATCCACCTAGAGAACTGGAGCTATACGGCATCTATGACGGTCGTGTCGCGAAAGTAATGGACTTTGGTGTCTTTGTAGAGCTGGAGGGGTTCTCAAGAGAGAAGAAGGAAGGTCTTGTCCACGTCTCCAACTTGTCTGCCAATCGTGTAAGTAACGTCAAGGAGTTTGCAAAGCGCGGCGACCGTGTCAAGGTGAAGCTCATCTCGATCTCAGGAGCCAAGCTGTCGATGTCAATGCGCGATGTGGATCAAAGAACTGGAAAGGATCTGATGCCGCAGCGCTCTAGTGATGGTGCCGAGCGTGCACGTCAAGAGAACAGGTCTTCCGACTCACGTTCGTGGATTAACCCATCTGCACCGGGTATGCAGAGCTCGCAGCAACTGGATGAAGATGACAGCAAGCCACAGCGTGCTGCAAAGCGCATGTCGTCACCTGAACGATGGGAAGTCCAGCAGCTTATTAACTCCGGAGTGCTGTCAGTTGAGGACTATCCGACGTTTGACGAGGAGCACGGTATGCTCAACACGGAAGCCACGGAAGAAGACTTTGAAGTGGAATTAAATGAGGACGAACCTGTTTTCCTGCGTGGTCAGACGCAGATGAGTCGAGAGATATCCCCCGTGAAGATCGTCAAGAATCCGGACGGCTCCATGCAGCGTGCCGCCATGACGCAGTCGAACTTAGCGAAGGAACGTCGTGAATTACGCCAGACACAAGCGAATCAGTTGATTGATTCCATCCCGAAGGATCTTAATCGACCGTGGGAAGATCCCATGCCTGACGCTGGAGAGCGACACTTTGCTCAGGAACTGCGTGGCATCAACATGGGATCGACATTCGAGCTGCCAGAGTGGAAACAAAAGTCCGTGGGGAAGAACTTGTCCTATGGTATTGTGTCGAACAAGACCATTCTGGAGCAACGTGAGAGTCTTCCGGTATTCAAACTGAAGCGTCAACTGATGAAGGCTATCGCGGATAATCAAGTCCTGGTGGTTATTGGTGAAACTGGATCGGGGAAAACCACGCAGATGACGCAGTATATGGCTGAAATGGGCTTGACTTCTACCGGTATTATCGGCTGTACTCAGCCGCGTCGTGTTGCTGCTTCATCCGTGGCAAAGCGTGTGGCCGAAGAGTTTGGCTGTGAGCTTGGACAAGAAGTTGGTTACTCGATGCGATTCGAAGACGTCACCAGTCCCGAGACAGTGATCAAGTACATGACTGAAGGTATGCTGCTGCGAGAATACCTGGCTGACTCGACTCTGTCAAAGTACAGTGCTCTGATGCTCGATGAAGCCCACGAGCGGACAATCAACACGGACGTTCTGTTTGGACTGCTGAAGGATCTTGTACGTACACGGAAAGACCTCAAGATTATCGTGACGTCCGCAACTCTGGATGCTGAAAAGTTCTCTCGATACTTTTTCGACTGCCCGATTTTTACAATCCCAGGTCGTACGTTCCCTGTAGAGATTCTGTACACGAAGGAACCGGAGTTGGACTATCTGGACGCGTGTCTGCTGTGTGTGATGCAGATCCATTTATCCGAGCCCGAAGGAGATATTCTGTTATTCTTGACGGGCCAAGAAGAGATCGATACAGCGTGTGAAGTTCTGTATCAACGTATCAAGGCGTTGCAAGAGCGTGCACTAGCTCCGGAACTCATCATTCTGCCAGTATACGGTGCGCTGCCTTCGGAAATGCAGTCGCGCATTTTTGAACCAGCACCCAAGGGCTCTCGGAAGTGTGTGGTGGCTACCAATATCGCAGAAGCTTCACTGACAATTGACGGCATCTACTACGTCGTGGACCCTGGTTTCTGCAAACAGAATGCCTTCAACTCGAAGATCGGGATGGATTCTCTTGTGGTTGTGCCGTGCTCACAAGCCTCAGCTCGTCAACGTGCCGGACGCGCTGGTCGTACAGGCCCCGGAAAGTGCTATCGATTGTATACCGAGAATGCGTATAAGAACGAGATGTTACCGACCACCGTGCCAGAGATCCAGCGTGCGAATCTCGGGTCGGTTGTGCTTCAACTGAAAGCCATGGGGATCAACGATCTTATGGGTTTCGACTTTATGGACCCGCCGCCTCAAGATGCTCTTGTCATGGCACTGGAGAACTTGTACGCATTAGGCGCGTTGGACGATGAAGGTCTGTTAACAAGGTTGGGCAAGAAGATGGCCGAGTTCCCAGTCGAACCGAAGAACGCGAAGGTGTTACTGACTTCCGTGGTACTTGGCTGTGCCGAGGAAGTGCTGACTATCGTGGCGATGTTGTCTGTGGAGTCGGTCTTCTTCCGACCAAAGGAGAAACAGGCTCAGGCTGACCAGAAGAAGGCGAAGTTCCACCAACCTGAAGGCGATCACTTAACTTTACTGGGAGTGTATGAGGCTTGGGCGAACTCCAAGTTCTCCAACCCATGGTGCTATGATAACTTCATCCAAGCACGCGCTATCCGGCGTGCTCAAGACGTCCGCAAACAGCTGCTGTCCATTCTTGATCGATACAAAATGGATGTGGTTTCCTGCGGCAAAAACTACAACAAGGTTCGACGTGCTATTGTGGCCGGGTACTTCGCCAACACGGCGAAGAAAGACCCGCAAGAGGGATACCGCACTATGGTTGAAGGCCAACCTGTGTACATTCATCCATCGAGTGCATTGTTCAACAAGAGTCCAGAGTGGGTGCTTTACCATGAGCTGGTCCTCACCACGAAGGAATATATGCGCAACATCATGACGATTGAGCCCAAGTGGCTTGTGGAATTAGCCCCTGCGTTCTTCAAGAAGGGCGACCCTACCAAGCTATCCAAGCGCAAACGTAACGAGAAGATCGAGCCGCTCTTTGACCGCTTCAATCCACCCGATTCCTGGCGTCTTAGCAAACGTCGGGGATAAAATCCAACAGCAAAAAAATCCCATGTCGATCATGGACAAAAGAGACAAAAAGCTTTACCGACCTCTGTTCCTCCATTGTCTCTCTCCTTCTTGGCCTCTGCCTTACTGGTCCTTGGACTTTTTCTCACGCGTACGCTTCTGCCACACGATGAAGTCCATGAAGAAGCCGAAGCCCACTTGGATAGGAATGAGCAGTGGCAGCAACGCCGTCTCGAGCATCGTGTTAGAGCGAGGCGCAACACCATTAGCCAAGACGCGGAGGATGAAGATCATGGGGTCGTTGGTGATGCTGAACTCGCCGTCGCTCACTCCGTTGATCAGAGACTGCGCCACCTTGTCCGGGTGTAGAGGCTCACTCACACCTTCGATGGTCTTGGTCTCAGGAGGCTTAGTACGGTTCTCCTCCACGAAGCCGGGTGAGTCAATGTTGCCCGGGTAGAAGATACTCACGCGAATACCGAAGAGCTTGAGCTCGTTGCGCAGCGACTCGGCCAGGCCACGTAGAGCGTACTTGGGGGCAGCGTACTGCGCGTAGCCAATCCACGAGATGAGACCGAGACCAGAGCTCACCAACACAATGTGGCCACCTTCTCCACCTTCCTCCGAGCGCTGCACCATGGCCGGCAATGCCGCCTTGATGGTGTGCAGCGTGCCGAAGTAGTTGACGTCCATGATCTTCTTGTACAGACTCACGTCCTGCTCCAAGAAGTAACCGGGGGCAGCGAAACCCGCCGAACACACCACGTGGTCCGTGGCGCGTCCGTGGAACTTGTTGGCAGCATCCACAGCCTTCTGAACACTGGCAAAGTCCGCCACGTCGCACGACTGGATGAAGACTCCTGCGTCCGCGTTCTTACGGACGCCCTCGATCTCCGTCTTGGACTCCTCCAGCTTGTCCAGTCCACGCGCAATGATAGAAACCTTGGCTCCTTTCTGTGCGTACTTCTTGGCTAGCGCAAGACCCAGACCGGAGCTGCCGCCAGTGATGAACACGTGCTTGCCGTCCACTTTAAACCCTGGAGCGCGGAGCTTCGTCACTACGAACGACTGTATACGAGGTTAGCTTTCGCACAGTACGAAAGCAAAGAGACCGGAGGACAGTATCTTACCACGATGGAGACGCCCACGACGACGCCGGCGACCAACACGCCCACCCACCAAAGATCTGCGGCCATCCTGAGCTCCTGGTCGGCAATTGAGTTGTGCCGGTTCAGTTGAAAAAAAAACTGGTTTGGGTTTTTTAAAGTTTGATAGCAATTTTGTAAGGCAGATCTGGAGATGCTTTCTAGATTGGTTTGCGGATTGCGGATGCATAGCCAAATATCATATGATATTTTTGATAGTAGTAGTACTATTGTCGATATTTTATATTAATTGTAACTCATTTTTGCAAAAGCTAGCATAATATTTTAATATTAGCTCGGAAACCTGAAAAATATTAGATACTACATGATATTTTATAATATTGTCCCACTTAAGTACGTTTCTTGCCACCTTACCCTGTGGACCGAGCGGAGCCAAATAACTTTTTCGATCAGGTTCTAGAAAAGCAGTAGGCTTTAAGACTGACGAGTATTTGCTCTAGTATTTCACTGTGACACAGACAAAGGCGATCGAGATGGAAAACTGCAAACGCTTGCAGCTGTTTAACGTTGATAGAGCGAAATCAAGACATTTTTTCTTGTTCTCTACCGATATCCTCGTCCACATCGTGCGTCTAATAAACCTGCTGCCTGTGGCGCTAGATTAATGCGCTCAGCAGTGCCAACACACGACGCCAACCTTGCCGTCACTCTCACAATTGTCCCTCCCTCACGGTTGATTAGTAATACTTCAGCTAGTCGAGCGTTAGCGACATCTGATTAGTGAATTTAGCCCGATTACGCAATCTTTGAAAAAATAATATTGTATTAGCTAATATTAAGTTGATATTTAATAATATCGTATTGTCTCAGAAGAAAATATTAGGTGATATATTTTAAATTAACTGGTCTACAAATGATATTTTCACAATATTAACTTCACCGATTTTGGAGTTACCATTAACCCCTGGCCAAGCATTCTTGTCTCACAAGTTTACGAGACTCAACAATAACAAAATAACTCGGGATGGAATTGATCGGAACTTCTGCGCATTACCACCCAAGAACGCTGCATCAGCGGCATTGCCATTGTCTGGTGTCAATAGGAAGTGCTTGCCAACCTCTTTCAAAACAACCATACAACAGTGCGTGTACCTGTAAGTGCCCACGCAAAGCAATTTTCGCTGAGTCTCCTATGAAATACACGTACTTCGCATTCAAGCACCCTGTGTTGTACGGTACAATTTCATGTTATTGCGTACGAAGCATTGAACTCACCACCCCCAACAAATCTTGCTTCCTTAGTTGACGTTTGTTCTGCAGGTGGCGTACATGTAAATAAGCTTTTACCGTACTGTACCATGTTTACGCAGTTTTACAGCTAGCTGCTACACCAGTAGCCCAGCTCCATTTTTGCAGGGTGTTTAAGCGGAATTTGCGAAACACCCTGCATTGTAGCTGGGCTATTAAGCTGCTATTGTAGATTGGGCAGTCATCAATAGTGGTTGTCAGAGTTGGATACAAGCGGCGACTGCTGAAGGCGTTGAACGCTTTCAGCAGAGGAGAAGACATAGGTGACAAAGCTTAATGCCGCTTTCTCTGCGCTGGATTCAGAGGACAAACTGATGGAGGAGGCCATCGCCACCGTCGGAGCGTTTATAATGGAGATGAGATCGGTGGGGATGTCTGCGAGAGATGTGGCGTTGGCGGACACGATAGCGCGTCGCTTGACAGCCGCACAGAGGGGCTTTGAAAGCGGTGGAGAAAGCTGTGGCTGAGGCTCAGACGTCTATGGGTGACGTGGGGAGAAACTCAGCCCAGCTGTGTGCGCTGGTGGGGAGGATGTTGCCGCAACTGTTTGCTGGACAATGGCTCCCGTGAGATTGGTGAGAATCTCACTGAGATGCACCGAAAAGCAAGCTTGAGTTGCAGAGGGCATCCAAGACATGCGGGCGGCACTAACACAAATGGAGGTGCTTTCTGTGGAGGCTCGATCCATGACGTTCGGTCACTAAAAAATTACGGCAGTAATGTCATTGCTAAGAAATCCTTGTAATTGAGACCACTATAGACTTTTTCAATGTTGGGTTCTCCGCAGTTGCAATGACATACATGGCTGCATATGCTGCTTCCGAAAAATAGCAAAATAAATTTGTAGCTGATGCTCACGTTATGTTATGGCTACTTTAGCATAAGCTTACGTTTTATCACAAACCAAGAGCTGACAACTCGCGCTGCGCTGTCAAGGATGTAGCAAACTTAATCTTTACGTACCCATCTAGCCAGGAAGTCCTAACCATTGCACTATACTAGTTACTAGTAATAATACTGTACCCAAACGCCGCGACCCTTGTCAAAAGATACCGTCCTGCCTTTTGATAAACATCAAGCCAACAGCATGAAGTACGAGGTGTCGCCCCTGAAGCGAAGTGAGCAGGGATTTCTGCAGCAAACAGCACGCCAGCGCATCACCACTTACGACGGCAATACATGGACATACTACGATTCGGGCAGGCTGAGTGATGCGAACGCTGGAAGGCCTCCGTTGATCTGCCTTCCTGGAACAAGTGGAGTCGCGCTGTGCTTTCATTTGCAGTTGCAAGAGCTGGGGTCAAAAGGGTTTCGCGTCCTAGCAGTAAGTTCGACTACGAGATACTTCGTACTTACTCATCCATCTCAAATACTTTCTTCCAATTAGCAGATCCAACACCCCATTGTTTGGACGCACGAGGAGTGGATTCACAGCTTCGACAGGTTTCTCAATGCCATGAATTTGTCTGAGGTGATAACGCGTTGGAAAGCGTGTTATTTAAACAGATAAACTAACAAAGTTGGCCGTAAATCATAGATCCACGTATATGCTGTGTCACTTGGCGCGTATTTGATTCAGGTTTGCTAGCAGAGATAACATTTGTGACTCTAGCGTATCATCGATGTCTTTCTATTTGCAGCGTTATATGGCTCTCTATCCGCAACGCGTCGCGTCCTTAGCTATGACGCAGGGATTTTGTGATACCCGCGAGTACGGAGCCAACGCCCCGTGCATCAAAATGTAAGTGTTGACAACTACTTTGAAAGGTGTTTGATTTACGTCACAGCAGTCGTGTGAATTGCTAAACTGCAGGCTCCCTTACATGCCAGACTTCTTTGTGAGAAAGTAAGTAGAATTCGTTCTTTACGGTATTTAAAATGCATAAGGACAAGAAACGGTTTGTGTCAACTATTCAGGTACATACTTGAGCACTTTCCAAAACTGAATCCCCACATGGACGCACAGAATCAAGCAATCGAATACATGATGGATCAGGTGGGCTACCATGGTATTAATACATAGTATACATGTAGTCTCAACTTGTGTTGTACAAGTACACTGCAACAGGAGGATTTATCATATCCTTTGAACTGACATGATGCGTCTTACAAATGCAGTTTGGAACTCTTTCCCAACAAGAAATTGCTTCACGTTTGACACTCAATTGTCTCTCGTGGGATCCTGAGAGCTGGAAAATCGTCCTGTCAGACGAGAAAATTACGCTAATTGACGTAAGTACCCGCGCACGGTTTGTTTTGCCATATCTAACCGTTTTTTTTACTGCAGAGCTACGAAGACACCAGTCTTCCAGCAAAACTCAAGGACCAAATCGGATTCCGCTACCCACGCGCCAAACAGGTACTCCATTCTGTCCTGGCTTCTTTAAACTGTCATTGATATCTAACTTCAACGTCGCCCACAACCGACAATTTTTTTAATAGGCATTGATAAGGAATGGAGGTGATTTCCCGTTCCTCTCGCACCATGAAGAAGTCACCATGTACCTCCAAGTTCATCTGCGTGCAAACGGTGTTTTCATTGCTTGAAGGATATTCCAGAGAATACAATTTGTCACCTAAAACAAAGATTTATTTTTACATTTACTACCAATGAAAACGCGTTTATAATCAATCCGTTAAATACCATCGAAAATGGTGTGGTCGAGCTTTGTAGCCTTGCACGAGGAAGTGGCGGAATGGAGCGACGATGCGCTAGAGCATAAGAGCGACATCCTCGTGGAGGGTCAATTGATGCATCAACGGCGTATCAGTCGGAAATGTTCGTTCTTCGATTTGGCGGCTGTGGCCACCGAATCGGATGGCGAAAGAGAGCGCATTGAGGTGATCCTCAAAATCATCGATGGGGAGTTGTCAGCGGAAGAAATCGATACTATCCGATACAACGTCAAAGTTGGAGATATTGTCCATATTCGAGGGTTCGTGGAGCGTCTTGGAGATGGCGCCTCCATTTTGGTACATGCACGCGACATTACAGTGGTCCGAGCGTGGAAGGATGAAAATCCTGGCGTGCCGTTCCTCCCTTTGCCTACGGTTGCCACGACGACTAAACGACACTCAATGGGTCAGGAACGACAAGATTATAGCGCTAAGAACGATGTTAAGGAGCAAACCACTGCTACAGCATCAGAGGAGCGAGCGCATTGCAAGTTTTGGATTAACTCGAAGACTTGTCAGCATGGCGACAACTGCGAGTTTTTCCACGTCGATGATGCCGAGCGGAAGACAGAGCGTGCCGGGTGGCTGAAAGATCGATTGCATCTCAAACGCGTCCGAGCTCACATCGAGGAAGATCCTCTGGAACCGCACGGGAAAATTGGAAAGCAGCAACGCGCGCAGGTGTTTGTCGAGTGGCTGGTTGAGACATTTGGAGCGGAATTTCTTGCATCGGGCAAAGGAGTTGTGGACGTTGCAGGGGGTAGAGGGAATGTATCCTTCGAGCTCTGGAACAAGAGGCGACTTCCTTGCACACTCATCGAACCGGTAGGCTTTGTTTTGGTGTTTTTCTCAATAATTAAAAATCTAGTTTAACTCAGATGTATGAGAACAGCGTCCGATGAAGCTTTCAAAGCAACAGCACAAATATCTGAAGAAACAGAAGAAGGAGCGCAGGCAATCGAGTGAAACCGAGGCCTCATTTTCCGAGGCGCTAGTGCCGCAAGTTACGGCACTCTTCAACATGGATTCCTTCCTGGAGACCACGGAGAACGTTCAACTGGTCGAGCAGTCATCTCTTCTTCTTGGCATGCACCCTGACGAAGCCACGGACTCGATTTTCGACGTTGCTATCAAGTTCAACAAACCTTTCGCAGTGGTGCCTTGCTGTGTGTTTGGGCAAAAGTTTCCTCACCGCCGACGCGCGGATGGCAGCAAGGTCGTGTCGTATGAAAACTTGGTCGAGTACCTTGCTGCCAAACACCCAGAAATCGAGAAGGCATTTCTACCGTTCGACGGCAAAAACTTGGTACTTTTCCGACGACCACGTTTGGTCGAATAGTAGAACAATACACGAACGACGGTGGAAATTACTGATCACTTCCTCATTTATTATAGTTCGATGGGGAAAATGTGTATTCTCTGCGGGAACACGATAGCTCCACTTAGTCGCGTCGTGCTGGCATCGCCACCATTTAGCAGCGTCAAATCGACAGGGAACTCCAGCTCTACATTGCTAAAAAACGCAGCACTCCATTGCTTTACACACTCTCGGCCACGGAATTGAGCAACTTCGCCATCTACACCCAAGCAAATGTATGCAAACTCGGACTGCTTCGCTTTGGTTGGAGGCGTGTTTACCTTCAGTGGCAATAGTTTTGCAACGGAGAATGGTACCCGGGCCCACGTTTCAGCTCCGAACCGGAAGTCTGGCATATCGCTCGGTACGGTGTCTCGATAGCTCACAAGACGGTAGATTACCCTGTCACACAGCAAGAAATCCACTGTTAAGCTATTGTTGCATTCACCTCAGCATGAAAATAATAAGCAATGCTCACCCTTCCTCTCCGGCTGCAAGCACGACGTCTTCATCTTCAGCTGGAATGCTCGCTAACGTTGAAATCGGGGTACGTGTCGGAACCACTCCAAAGTCCTTGCCGCGGTGAGTCAGCAATAAATGTTTCTGTCCGGTAGCCACTAAAACATAACTCGACAGTGTTTTCTCGACGTCCAGCAGCTTGGCGTTCGCGATCGCTTGCACTGTTGGCATGACGACGGAAGGGTAGAAGCACTCTGCCCCAACATCATTTCTGGTAGCAATAGTAGGCAGTCGTCTCTGTATTCCAACAACACGGCAAGTATTAAGACCATATCTCACCAACACTTAACATTAAGCTCCAACCTTCCAAAGAATCTCATAATGTGTGACGCCGTAGAGATTGCCATGCACGTCGCCAACGATAAACTCTCCGTCCTGATGGAAGCAAATGTGTTGCACTGCACTCTCCAACTGGAATCGTCGTAGCTCCTGTTCATAGTAAACAGAATTTATCAGCACGATGTTACCTTATCCTGAGATATCTAAAACCGTTCCTGCCTCACCAGCTTTTCGCGCAGTATCACGAGCTCTCCTCCTGCGCTGCCGACCACTAGCAGCGTGCTGTTGCGCTGTTCTTCTGCTTCGTTACCGCATACACTCTGCAATGACAAGTGCGACAACACATTCACGCCGCGTCAGTTTCCCGCTCCTGACGTCAATGAGCGCGAACGTCCGACGAACGCAGCCCAACACTGTCGACACTGTTGAAGCCACCTCACCGTCACTGCCTGTGTGGATACGCGTAAGTCCCAGAGCACGCGCGTCAGGCTGACGGCCGGCGGCACCTCGGCGCCACCGCTGCGATCTGATTCACCCGACGCGTTCGCGGCGAACGCGAGCACACTTCCGTCGGCTGTCCCCACATAAACTCGGCTAGTGCGGCAGCCGAGCGCGCACGTCAGATCACTGCCCGCGTATGGCCTAAGGAATCTGGCTGTGCCGGTGTTGTCCATTTGCGATGGCGAAGATGTGCAGGGTCCCCAGGAAGCCTGCACTTCCGCCGAGCAAGATTGAAGATCACTCCAGGGATCACCATTTTTTTCCACAAAAGAGATCTCCTAAGCTACACTCTGTTAATGACTGCCTTTTAAGCAGCGCTCTTAGGATATCTTGCACCGTGGTGACAAGTAAATCAGGCGAAAGTGTCTTTGAGAGGGACATGAATATCTAATGATGGTTGGTGGCGAGTTGCTCTGTATAGTTAAGTGGGTTAAATAATACTATGTTCCTATCCTGACTGGGTGTGCGGCGCTCTTGCTCTACGGCGTGGGCCCCTGGGTGACGCTGCCATTGTCGCCGCCTGGACCTCTAGACCAGAAGCGCAACGAGAACTTCTTCTTGTTCTTCATAGCGTCGTTTGAGCTCATGGAAAACCCGCGCATCTTGCCATTGGGGCGATGATGTGTGTTCCAAGACTCTGCGCGTGGCGAAGCTGCCCAGCTGTCGGCCCCCGTGGGGGTCGTGGGCGTGATCGCCACGTTGCTGCAGTCCCAAGACGCAGTAGCACGCACCTCTGGCATCTGCTGCGGTTCTTCAGTACCGAACGCAGCGCGGATCTGGGGAAAGCGCACTAGGAAGCTGGCCACGTAGGGCTGGAAAGCATAAATGAAAGCGTTGCTGTCGTTAAACGCGGGGTCGCTGTCACCGACTGGCGTGCCCGTGAGCGTGTGCTGGAGAATCTTGGCGATCTGCACGCCCATGGGTAGCGACTGTGCTGTATGTTCAGGGAAGTCGAACATCTCGGGCTTGATGAGCGCCGGACAGAGTATTCGCAGGAAGAGAAGACTACCCACGACGATACGCGCGTCATGTTTACAGCCGGGAAAGGCCTTGCGGAATTCGGCGAGCATATAGTGGCAGCCGGCGCGTAGCACCAGCGGCGCGAAGTGGATGGCCTTGGCCAGTCGCTGGATGACGCTCTTAGCATACGCACACACCTGTTTCGTCGAGGGTGGGCCGCGGGCCTCATACACTTTGGACTTCTCGCCGAAAACGTCGCGCAGCACATAGCGAAAGTAGGCCCGGCCCTGCGTCCGGCCGAGCTTTTTCATAAGCGACGTGAGCTCCGACGTCGAGCGCAGAAAGAGTTCCTCCCGCCCGCAAATGTCCTTAATCTCGGTCTGTACAGCGCGCTCCAATTCGTGTAAGCGCGGCAGCTCACCGTGCGAGCGCCTCCTCTGTAAGCCCCACTTTCCCATCGTCCAATCGTATCGCGCTGCTGCTGTAAAATCCGGCGCTGCGGGCCTTGGCGATTTGGTTGTAGCTGAGGCTATTATAGTGCTCAATGCCAACAGGGGCTGACTGGCTGGCGGCCCCCCTGATTTAGTTTGATGTCGCTGCGACTTATTCGCCCCGGTTCACGTGCTTTGGGGCGCACGGCGAGTTCTACAATGAGCACTGTCGCATCGGTTGTGCTCTTCCGCTAGCCCAGCTGGAAAAATCTGCGCTGGCTGCAAGTCGGTGTGGCCCACAGCAATGCCTAGCGCAGTCGCCGAACTCGTCTAGCAGACGAGACGTTTCCAGTCGTCAGAAAGGACGAAACCGCGGCTTAAGCCAATCAAAGCTCGACTTTAAGCGGTCACTGTACCGGTATGTTAGTACATTTCTTTTGTTTCATGTTGAAGCAAACGGCAACTTGCATGATGCAGCCATTCTGGACGTGGCTGCAGGTTGCCCGTAAGGCAGATTGTGTTTGTGCACGTCGCAGCCTAGCGTATGTTTGCTGGCGGATTCCGTGAAGGTGCTGTACGTGGGTTATTTTGAGTGGCAGCTGACGTCGTGGCTGCCTCGGGGCCCATAGTCTGGTAGGTCTCCTTCACGCCGCGTGAATCACACGTTGACCGCGCTCTAGCACTGCTGTCATCAGCAAGGCTTTGGGATCTGTCAGCTTTGTATCATTAATGATATTAAGGAGGCTCAACGTGACTGCACAGCTCACTATTCCAGTCAAAACGGCTGCCCGCCAGCCATTCTGGGATGAGGCCTTGCCGAGCCAGCAATGAATACACCGCGACTCGAGGCTTGAGCCATTCGCGGCGTCCGTATGGAGCGCCAAATGCCATGTTACTGCTCTTTCGCCGGACGCGAGGGCTGCCACACTTCCATCTGTGCCCCGCTTGTGGTCTTGAGTGCAGACCCTAAAAATTGGCTCGTGCATCTGGTGAAAGGGAAAGCTGGTTAGCAGCTTGGTTGCCAAGCTGGTGGACGCGTCACCATTGTAATTGATCTTGTAGTAGTCTTGAATGTCGGTGATTATTGGTCACCAAGCGTAAGCAACGTTGGTCTAGTTACGAAAGAGTTATAATGCGGGCACGAGGATTTAGGGCGCTTAAGTTTCTACAGATAATGAAACAAGCGGGTCGACGCTTGTCTCCGAGGGTAGCTAAAATATTCAGTAAGCTTAGCAACGATGGTCGGTGGTTTTGTAATGAATGATGCTCTTGATGGATTTCAGCGAGCATAAGCTGGAAAAGCTGGTGACATTCACCGGGGGGGGGGGGGGCTGCCACCGGTACTATGCCGGAAATCAGCAGAGAAGAAAGAAATGGTATAACATAACGTTAAAATCCACAAACCAACCCGTGAAGCGCTACAGCTGAAACAAATACATGTAATCCTAGAGCATGGATGAAAGTACGAACATACCGGTACGCTGTTTTTTCCTCTTTTTGTGATTTGTTTTCCAGATGAACAAAACCTTGTGTCCGAAGCTCACTGCAGACTGCAACACAGCAATTCAAATTATTGTGCGTTCTATTCGAAATTTCCGCGCGCGTGTGAGAGACACCCCGCCACACGCCCGACAAATCGTGTAAACCTGGATTACAGAATAAACCTTTGGTTGCACCAGCAATCACTCTCACTCGAGGACCCGCACTGAAGCATGGCGTACTACGATCCCCGCTCCGTCGTGGCCATGCACGCACGTAGCCGTACATTGTGGCCAGCCACTCACCACGAGACGGAGCCTCTCTCTGTCATCTGGATCGCTCACCAAGCGAAGAAGGGCGTCCTCCAACACGTCAAGCGGGCACACGGACAGCTCTACCTGCCTCAACACTCGCTCCTGCTGAGTTCAGGACCGATGTGTGTCCCTCCGAGTTTGTCGCTGCTGCTTCTCGTGGAGCTGTGGAGAATACATCGACTTCAGAGCGCACTGATACAGCTTCTACTGGTTTCTGCGCGACACTTCCTGCTCCAGAGATTGCTTCTGTCGGTCATGTTGAAGCCAGTGCGACTCTATCCGCTCCTAAACGCGATGCTGCGGCTGCAGTCAGACCCATGGAGGCAGGAGAAACTGTATCAGTTCATGAAGCGGCTAATGAAGCTCCTGGTGATCTTTTCCAACTACTTCTTCGGCCCATGATAAAGACATCAATTAACCAGCGGGATACGTCCGGCGAGGTACAACATGATGAAGTGTTTACTGGACGTTCTTTTGACAGCATTATGGAGGCAGTTTGGGAAAAGTTTTCTTCTAACATAAAGAAGCAAGCCGTCAAGACCGATGGTATCTGGAGCGTGGAGGATCCTCAATTCTCGGAGTGGGCAAAGTTGCTGCAGTTCAAGGTAAAAAAACGCATTGTCGACTCTACAAGGTCAGCACAAGCATGGAACCAATGGCTCGCTGCAAATAAAGGAACTACTGTGACTCTCATGGTCTACGAATACGGTATGGCTATTGGAACTGCTAAGGACCGAGATGACTTTATGAAGGCGTGCGTCCTACCAGAGGAGACGGATCGTGCAGGTGCAACAGCAGAAGGCTCCCTGCGAGAAGTGGTTGAGGCGCTTCGACAGAAGTGGGGAAATATTTTTCAGGCATCGTCGGTTGTCTGGTGTATGTGGGCGAACCACGTGACACGAAATCTAAATCGCTCGACTTGGAATGCTAGTATTGCCAACCCACCTGTAGCGGGGTTACATGGTGTGGAACACACAGGGGTACGAAGTACCCGGAGAGTTAACAAACTCTCAGTACATAAGTTGGAGAGCTAACAAGGTCTCTCAGTACGTTGGCCGAAAGCCACACGTTATGCATTTGATTAGGTTTAACTATGCTATATAGTTAAACAGATACATTTACCCCTAGGCGGCTTGGCCGCAATAATAGTAAATAAAACACTTCTGGTTTTGAAGCATAAAAGTTAAGGTATTAACTTTGAGCCCTGGTCTTGGGCTGTAAGTTCCTTTGGATAAGGAACTTAGTATTAGTGACTCTTTGAGTCGAACGTCTTCCTCTGACGCTAAAGCTACGGCAGCCCCGCTGCACCACCGCCAAGCTACATTACAAACTTTCTCGATCCGGCGGAGTCACGCTTTGAGGAGCATTTAAATGGAGTAGCGCAATCTTCCAGTGTGGCGCTAGACTGTTTGAGAGCCTCTATCGGCGACTGTCAGCAGCTCCGTCGCTACCTTGAATCTGCTGGACGTTACCTTGACGATCAAGAACAGCGATTGGTAGCACGTGAAGCTATCTTTGAAGGCATTATTTGCAATCTCGTGCCTCCGTCTCCAAGCACGATCATCGACCCGATGCCCCTGATTGAGAACATCGAAGACGCAGAGCACGCCGAGTAAGAATTACCATACTCAAGCAAGTTTTCTAATATCTCTCAAGTGTGAGAGCTAAAACGTATCGCACTTTGACTAGATAAAGTTTACGATTCCTCGTCAAGCGCAGTAAACTCCAAGTTATTATTTCTGGTCGTCATTGTGTTGAGTTCTGGCTGCGTTCGCTTATCAATCGAAAGAGGCCCAACAGGATCAAAGTAGCCTTGAATATCCCATCCACAGTGCTGAAATACCTTGCTGAGATTGTATCGTCGGAACTGGCGAAATGTCTGGACAACAAAAGGCATAAGATCACGCCCACTAGATTCGAGGTAGTGTCGCTGAATGAGCGCTTCACGTAGCCAAACAGAAACTCTATCGGATTGAAAAAAGGGCAATAAGCCGGAAGGAAAATGGGCACAACACCAACACTGCGAAAGTAGTGCACAACCTCTAGGTGCCTGTGAATAGTAGCGCCATCCAAGATCCAGACTGAATTTCGACCAGGGTATTGACGAACCGGTCCACTTGGGCAATGTACGAAATCTTGACAGCAATTTGTAAGCTCCACTCGGTCAAATGTGCCCTCCGTGCTGAAGTAGTCTAGGACCCCATTAACGCCAATAAACGCCAGGATTGAAGCCCGTGGCTTTCGCTCAAAGTCACCCCGAATAGCAACCTTCTTCCCACGAATAGCGTAACCTCGCTTGCGTATCATGCCTCTGTTATCGAAACTGACCTCGACAATGTTTTAATGGCTCCAGTCTACGTGGCTTAGTTCCTCCACGAAGCGAAACACGTCACGTTCCTTGATGTGCATCGCGCGTCGCTCCAACGCCTTCCAGGTGAGGCCATACGCGTGTATTATTCTCCAGACTGACGTTTTTGAGATGTCAACAGAATGAGTCCTCTTGAAAGCATCTTGGGCTTCGTCGAGATACGCAAGAGGATGCTCCTGGTAGTACTTAAACAGCCATTGACGCTGCTGTTGTGTGTATTGTCTCCTGGTGACTGTGTTCACTCGCTGAAATACCGCCGTAGTTTCGTACACCTTAATCCAGTTACGGATTGTGCGCTCCGACTTGTTGAAGATGTGCGCAAGATGCTTTTTGGAATAATCAAGCTTGTAGTAAGCATAGAGGCAATGATACACAGTGTTAGCGTGGGCGTGCTGCCGTGTAGCAGCTTCCTCCATGGTCTTCGCACACTAAGCTGTGGACGCAGCACTTCAACATGCAGCCAGCGCCTTATTGGATATATTTAGGCCAATAATCAGCGTTGTTTTCTTATTTTGGATCAATCATAGCTTCTTGTTGCCTTATCGCCCGATTGCCGCCTTTCCCCAACACGCACACCTTCGGCAAATTTGAACGGAATTGACAATAAACACACGTGAACATGTATAGTGCAAGTACCTACTTTTCTAACAGCGTATTTAAAAATAAGCCTTTGCAGGTACTCATGTAACTGAAGATATTTGGTAAAGAGAAAAAAAACAGCTTCTATTAATCATTTGAACCACTCATCTTTACACTAAAATGCTCATTAACATGTAAATAAATAAAGTTTCATTTTGTACTTTGTAAAATATTACGAAATGAAAATTTATTATTTATTATGTTGTTGAGGGGAGCAACTGCGTTGCAGCCCGAACTCTCAGATCCGCTTCAGTATGCATTCGATGCAAAAATTTTACGTGACGAACTGTAGAACGTTGAACCCAAGACAGCTGAATGAGCTGCTTGCCGGCGAGTGCATTTGCCTAAAGTTGGATTACATCGTCAGATAGGAAAGCTCCTATTAATTCATGTAGAGTGAGCGGACGAATGTTAGAATAGCGTAACGAGGTACCTAACGCCAGGTGCATCCCTGATTACATGAAGTATGACACATCACACTTCGGGATACCTGGTACCCGGTACCAGGGTCGTCAGAGGCCAACCATTGGTTCAGACATTGATTTACTACTTGCCGAGCGCCGCCGCTTTGCGGCGGGGAGCATGGATATCGTTTCTTGTGCTTTGTCATCCCTCCACTACTCGTATGCTAAGCTGGAAAGTGATCCTGAGAGAGCCCTTTGGACCCGAAAGGTTTTTAAAAGTGTCGATTTGGGTCACCTCGCAGCCAGTAGATTTTTTTAATTCATTTTGTCCAATGCTATATCTGGAAAAACGTGACAGGCACGAAAATTGAAGCGTGACGGACAGACATGTTGCTGAAAAAGTTGTTTGAGACTATCCATTCGCCGCCGCTACGCGGCGGAGTGGCATGGTTTGTTGGAGATGAGGCTGCCGCATATTTAAGTGCTTCTTGGCGTCGCGTCCTTTGTGAGCGTCTTTCACCCTAGTACGCCAAGGCTTCGTTTACTTAATCACTAACCATTCAGAAGTCGCATGTGGCTCCGTACAATATCGTGGTTTGGTACGCTTCCGCTACCCCGGACTACAAGATGGCTGTTGTGCTCTTCAGTGGCCCGTGCTCTTCGGTTTCTTCGTGGCTTCGTGGCTCCCTGCACAGCCATGGTCCACGCTGCTTAGTGGTTATGCACCCTCTATTTTGCGTTCATGCTCTTCCGTACACCACCCTGCTATCAATTTCGTGCTCACAAGGGCTTACGTGGGTTTCACAGATCTCGTGGTCAGTAATCACCCATAGACCATGGCGACCAATCGACCGTACCCTGACCGATGGGTGCTCTTCCGTTGTTATGCTGATCCGTCTCCCGTGTATCGTGCTCTACTGGTGTAGCTCCATCGACCGCGTTATCGCGCTATCATGCAATCATGCAATCGCAGTGTGGCTATGCTCTTCTATATTATCGTGCTCGCGTAATGAATCTGCGTTTCCCGTATATTATCGTGCTCTACAATAACATCCCACGGTGTGCAATCGTGGGTACCCCAAGTGCCCCCCCCCTTTAAATTTTGTGGCTGGTGCGCCGTCCGTTCATTTGTGTACTAATGTACTTTCGTCCTCCGTGGCTCGGTACACCGGTATCGTGCTCCGTGGTCGGTGATTATCCGTCTATAGCTGCCGCTGCTGCTTCTGCTCTCATGGTTTAGTGGCTAGGCCACCGTCCATGCTGTCATCTTCTCCGTGGTTCGTGGCTGATCTGTCGTCTGTTCTATCGTGTTCTACCGTAGTATCGCGCTCCGTGGCTCGCGGATCTTCCGTTTTACCCTGGTATCGTATTCCAATGCTCGGTGATCTCCCGGCTAAGGTCTCCCGTAGCTTCATGTTTGGTCCGTCAAACGTGCTCCGAGATCTACCGTGGTTAAAAATTATTTTTCCAGCTCTCTCACAGCTACATGTACTGTACTACCGTGGCTTCGAACGTGCGTGCTCTTTCGTGGTCCGTGCTTTTCAGAATCTGGGGTATCATTATTTCAGTCCTCATCCGCTTCCTTCATTTCATGTCCTTCCGTGTTTCTTACGGCTGTATGTTTTCTTCCGTGGTTCATGCTTCGCTTAACATTTCATGACCTGTATAGGCTCACTCCCCTTTCATCGTCCGCGGCCTTCCGGGCTTCATGTAGTCCGGCTCGTTGTTCCTCCGCGTTTCGTGTTCTTGCTTAATCACGTGCCTCCGCGCTAATTCAATCGCAAACCCTATTTCCAGTTGGTTTGATGTACACTACGTATCATGTTGGAAAGTGCGCAAACTATCTTAGATTCGCACAGCGAATTCAAACCAATTATTACCGCTAAAGGAAGACGTTTGTTTTTTCGCGACGGCGGAGTAGTCTGTGTGGTGTGGAACGTTGGGAAACCACTTATTTAATCGCATTTTAAACGTTTTCTAACTTGTGATTAATATCAGTTATAAACTTGTTTTTTATCTTACGCTGATACTAATAATATTTTTATTACTACTACAAAAGGCTGCAAGGTAAAATATGAGAGAAATTTGGAATAGTACTATGCAGAGCAAAAGTAAAATTATTGGTAGCTACGAAACTTAAGACATCTTTTAAAAATACGTACTAAAATGACTATTTAAGCCGGTTTATGCGTCACCAGGGCCTACCATTTTCAGTATCAGCTTCTAATACCATATAGTACGTTTGTGCACTTCGGCGCCGCGTACTAATACCAACTAACCCGCACACATGCAGCGCCCTGTGCGCGGAGTGGTCGAAAAGGGGGCAAAAATGAAATTCGAACGGTAAATTTAGGTACGGTATGTAGACCGCATAGCACAAAATTATGATTTTAGTCGATTATATCAATCTTCGCTGCTCTCGACAGCGTTTTAACCAATCAACACCGCCTTCGCTCAGCTCGGTAGCCAGTAAAACGCGCGTATTAGCGTTACATTAATGAGCCCTAGCTGCGGACGGAAGGACGCAGACTGGACTCTACTAGCGGGGTAATAGGTGACTTATAGTTTGTAAATTTAACTCAAGCTTACCCTCCATATAAATGCACTTAGCTTGTAACTTACCTTAAATTGGTCACTTCGCCCCCTTAGGCAAAAAGGGGACCTGTGAACTGCCGTTCACTGAGCGTTTGTATTCTCTCGGAAGCCGACTTCCTCTAGCGCAAGGTGCTGTGTCACCCCGTCACACTTAGAAGCACTTGTAGTCAGCCCACGCCAACGTGGGTAGACCACCTGAGCCTCTGTAAAGTTCGTCGCAATGGATAGGAACGACTTCTCCCATCTAAACGGATCACAGCTCGAGTTGAATCCCGAAGATCCCCGCCATGCCCTGCAGAGCCTTGTGGCGTCAACAACGGCCGAAGCTCGAGCGCGTTAATGCGTTTGGAGAATACGAGCGAGGGCTCATCGCACATGTGCAGGAAACCTGCAGGCTCCGGCGGTGGAAGCAAGTCCACCACACCCGAAGCCAACACGGCTGAAGGTGAAGCCGGGTGAAGGGAAGGAATGTGGGGTCCTTCGCGTCTGGGCTCAAAAGATAGAGCCCGCGATGGACGCGGTTCTGATCTCGACTGAAACAAACTTCGCGTTGTTTTTGCGCTATCCAACTTTAGCGGTCGTGCTTAGAGTTGGTCGTACACGAGGGAGGTTCTGGGGCGTCGAAGAACTTGGCACGCCGTCCGACGGCGGCTCGTAATAGCAACAAGTTGTCCTATGATTTGAAAAAAAACAAAGGCAATGGGACAGTGTCAGTGTGACTGGTCAACGGAAAGGTCGTCACTATCTTCAACATCAAAAATGATCTGGCTGTCAAGTTCGAAGACTGTAACATCCCAGCTCAGTTTACTGTTCTCAACATGGATCCCTACGATTTGATCCTGGGCATGTCCTGGCTCGAGCCCTGGATCGACGGATAAGGCAAGGCAATCGGAGACCGACAGAGCATTGGTGAGTCATGCTCCTATCTCTACCAGAACCCGGGGC